CCGCTAAATTGGAGATGTTTGTTTTGCAGATCTCAGCTTCCTGCTCACTTAAGCAGAGTAAACATTAATGTCTGTGATCTCAGACTCTGTGCACTTTTTCTACTGCCCCAATCTGCTCAGATTTTTTCTTTCCCATAAAGATTATTCCATTTGTCTGCATGGTTCCTCGCTCTTTTTTTCCACAGTCTGGTGGAGGGTGCAGTATTCCTTTTGCTGTTTCATTCGCTTGTCATGCTCTGTCATTGGCCGTTTCATGCATTTGATGGTACGCTTCACTTTGCTTTGTTTTGGTCTTCTTGTTTCTCCGGTCCTCTGATTGTGAGTCAAGATTTCTTCTGGTGCGTTTTGTTATGCGAAGAAGTTTTGAGTTTCATCACTGTTGGTCTTCCACTCATTGTGGCGTCCTTGTTGTCTGTAAGTCTTTGGTTTGTGGTTTTGACAGTGCGCTGTGTCAGGGATGCATCACACCCACACAGGACCAAGAAAATTCCCAGTGCCGGAAGTCAGATCCCTCCAGCTGCAGCCTGTGAGGAGTTTGCTTTTGCTTTTGTTATGGATTGCATTGCCTCCCCCAACCCCACTTCTTCCAAGTGCAAGCATTCCCCTCTTGGGATGCACTAATTCACACAATTGGCTGCAAATGCTCTTTGGACAAAGGTTCCCACCTTATCGAGCTCCGCTTTATCACTGCCAGATGTTTAAGTAAAACATTGCAGCCTCACTATGTATGTGTCAAATCCCAGGAGCAGGTTTAGCTGCATCCTGAGGCAGAGCGTGGGCCCTGGGCCTCCCGCTGAGGTCGACATCAGCGATCTTTTCTCGTTAGCTGGTGACACTTTGAGTGTAGAGAGTTTGTTTACGATAAACCGCCAAATTCCCAGCATCTGTGGGAAAATTCATGTGCAGGGATAGAAGTGTATCCCTTCTGCTGATTGCTGTGCCATCGCTGGAGTAAACACAGTTTGTTTTTCCTCTGACCTCCAAGATTACATCGGGATCGTGGTGGCCCAATCCAAAGACCTAAATGACAACAATAAACATCTGGCTGGGGACATGTTTTGCAGATACTTTATGAGAGCTCATATTAAGATGATTTGGCGTGACCCGGCTTTATTTGTGGACACTGTGGACATTCCTTACTGTAAATGACTCTGTTGTTGTGGCTCGGCCATAAAGCATCCTTGAGGTTAAGGGATCAAACAGCTTTCAAGCATTTTTTATAGAAGTCATTTCATGCTGCTTGACTTCTGTGCAGAATTCCCTCTGTTTATGTCATTAAGCTCCATAATCTTTTAAGATTGCTTCTCCGACTGGTTCTTTGAAAGACTACAAAAGTCTGCACATTTAGGCTAAATATGGATTTTTTTCTCCACTATTTAATCTCAAATGCACAGTACCTGGCTAAACTATGTAATTAAACTAGAACATGTTCACATTTTCTCTTGTGGTATTAATGTTATTAATGCAAAGTTATGCAAAGTTGTGCAATGATTGTGATACATGTTTTTTAAATGACAAAACGTCCCGTCTGTAGTGTGATTCAAGCTCCGTAGGGGCCACAGCAAACAGACCTTTTGGTCAAGTCTGTTCAGACTCAAAACACTATGTGGAAAAGAAAGCTAAAAGTACACATCACCCTGAACGCACCATCCCCATGGTGGAAAGTGGCTGGGGTGTCACGCTGTGGAATGTGTTGCTTCACTGGAACAAGAAAACTGGTCAGAGTTGATGGGAAAAATTGCTGGAGATAAAATAATATAAATCCTCAGAGAATGCACTGTAAAAGGCTCCAAAAAGGCTTTAACCTTCCAGAACAATAACACCCCTAATCAAACAACCAGAACTGCTTCGAACTGATTTAGGTAAAACCATGTTGAAGGAAAAACTTCTGATGGCTTCCTTCTATTATTAGGATCCTGGTGAAATATCCTGGTCTGATATAATAAATTGAAAAATGTTCAAACCTGATTTTGGCTGAGACTGTTTATACCTCTTTTAGATTTATTGTAGAAGGTGTGATAACTTCTGGTTCAGCTCAAATCATGTTCATGTGTCAGAATGGCCCAGTCAAAGTTCAGAGATAAATTATGCAAAATATGTGGCAAAATATTCATAATCAGAATTATGTAGTGCTTTGTGTTGCTCATAAAATCATATAAAGTAATTTTTGAAAATGTTTTTTTATTGAATGTGACTAAATTAGAAAAGCCAACACTTTCCCAAGGAACTGCACAAGCATGAACTCTAAAACTCTGACCATAAGAGTTTTGCTTATTTTGTCAAACTGTTACCATTTAAAATATGATTTGTTAGCTCTGACCATGCCAAGTAACACATGCCTTTGGCGTCGCTTGGCTATTGTCGTTCAAAGCTCTTGTCACTGACAGTGAGGTTAGGGGCTTTATTTTGAGCGCTGACGAATAGCTTCCTCACGACACGGACCCTTGCAGCTTGCTGCTGCTGGGCCCCCTGGGACAAAGCGACCCCTCCACTCTTGCCGTCATCACCAGCAGGGTCCCATGTGGATCGGCGGTCCTGGGAAAGTTTTAGATTAATGCTGTGGGAACATGAACTGTACACAGACATCAGTGACAAAAACAGAAAAAGGAGGGAAGGTCTCTCTCTGTGTGTGTTTTTGTGTAAGAGTACATCCATGTTGTAATCTAATGTGTGTCCATATGTCGAGTGTTTTTTGGTGCCAATGAGAATCTAGAAGTTTGTATGTTTCTGCTCATTATCCATCCGCCTTTCCTTCACCTCATTTTATTAGAACCAGGAGGCGGGGGAGGAAATGGACCAGCCGTGTTTTTTGGAACTGCTCAAGAGCTTTGAGCTTTCTGCTTTGGGAACGGAAGTGCCAGAGGCTGTTAATTTAGGGAGACAAACTTGTATCTGGTTTGAGTAACAGACTGACTTCAGGCTTATTTATGTGTGCCAAACTGTTATGGAGATTTCAGCTGTTTTATACCTGATATCTATGTAAACCCCTGAAACACTTATCAGTTAGACAGCTGAGAAAATGTCAAAACATGCTGTTTTTACATAACGAATAAAAATAGCACAAAGTCTTAAAATAGAGGCTGTAAGTTTGTGCAACATAAGCAAAAAATAAATAAATAAAAAATTAAACATTTCACAATTTCTTTTTCCTCTTTCTCTTCCTCCTCCACCAACGCTCTTCCCAAGGCTCACTCTTCCGCCCCCTTTTTGTTTCCCACCCTCTTGCGTACAGGCCTGTGATCCATCCTTAACTGTTTCCAGACGTGTGCGTGCAGCCGGCCTTAACCCCCCCCTCAAACATAACAACAAAACACCCCTCCACACCCTCACTCGCCTTATCCTCTGGCCTTCTCAGCTGTGCGAAGTTACAAGGTCTGTAGCACTAAAAAGTCATTTCAGTTTATCTGCGATGTTGCATTTGCATCAGTGTACAACATGATATCCCAAGCCAATTTGCTTCATTCAGAGGCATATATGAATCCCTTCATTTTCACTTTGGTTTACACCAAAACCAATTAAAGGCTCAGCATGACCCCAGAATAACTTGGACATAGCATTGTCCAGGTTATGCACACGCTGACCGGTTTGTGAGGGTGCAGGATGTTGGCGGACCAGGAACAAAAGGAGACGCACATTGCCGCTCTGTCCTGGTGCAGCGAGGCATCAAATACCTCCAGACTAGCTCAGGAGCCAAGAAAGAAAACAGCTTCATGATGGATCACATACTTTGTTTTATTTCGCCTTTAAGCTTTACAAGCAAAACAGAGTGTTCTCTCACACATTTTGTCACTTAATTTGAGCTAGAGCAGCATATGTCAAGCCGCCATGATTTTAAAGTTGTTTTGTCACGCTTGTGAATCTGTGCGTGATCATTGATGCAATAAAAACTTGGGCTTTTTTCTGTTACTTTCCTCAATTTGATGGATATTTGTTAAATAGTCTGATTGCTTTCCAAACTAGGCCACTGCTCTTATGAAAACTATCAGCAACCCGAGATAAATCATGTTCTTTTTATTCAATAATTAAGTGCAACATTTCATGCACCCTTAGTGAGCTCTCGTCGGAGAAGTTGCCCAGGTTTGCTCTTTTACTTTGTACTTGTACAGCATATTATTAAATCCAGAGGATCCCAAAACATTTCACACTGCAATCAGTCATTCAGCAATTCTGGAACATGTGCAATAACATAATATAAATACACAAGAGCTTTTTGGGGTACAATGACTGTAAACATATCAGGTGGACAGTTTGGACATCTAGAACATCTAGAGCTTTTTCCACATTTTGTTCTTCTGTGATGAACAAACAGAAGAACAACAATTTTTTTAAACAAAACTAACATTTTAATATTACAACCAAGAGTTGAAATGAGATGCAGTGATGGAAAAAAAGTGAATGAGATTACTGGGTAAAGACTTAGATATTTAGTCTGAGGTTTGAAAAAGAATCACATTTAACCCTAAAAATTTCACCTTAAAAAACTGTCAAAAACATTTACCCCATCTAAGTTACATGGCATCACTAAATTCAACTTTTAATGCTAAAAATGCAGAAAAATCTGATCCACGCTTTGTCTCAAGTCACCTTGTAAATGATAAATGGTAATGCTTTCTTTACAACTCTCTCTCCCTATGTATTTATATTAAAATACATTGTTGGAAGATTTCAGCTTTTTCAAAACTGAGTAGTTGGGCTGCTTGACCAAACCAAAAAGAGAAGGCATATAAATCCTTCATTTTCATACTTAGTATCAATTAACAATTAACAGTATGCCAAAGCTTATGAACTTAATATTTATTCAAACTGTTCCATTAATTACTTCAAAAGTTGTTTTTTTTTTTTTACAAAGAGTATTTTTGACTTATATTTTGTTAATTTTGGGCTTCATTTTTGCACATTTTAAAAAACCATGTACATTTATAGTTTTTCTTGTGCACAACACTTTGAGGGGCATGAATCATAGAGACTTACTTTATGATTGCACCATCTTTTTTTTGCAGAATAGTGGGGTCACAAGGCAGCCACAATGAGGAGGCTGATAGCGTCTGTGCTCCACCTGATGGTCGCTTTGACAGGTTGGTGTTCAGTTTCTCTTGACAAACAAGAAGTGAAAATGCATACGAAGATCCTTCAGAGGTTTTTGTTTCCAGAAATAAAAAATGGGATGTGAAAAACAAAACAGTTATTGGGACTCTTGATAAAATGTGCAAATATGCATTATTTATCCCAGCAACATAATCTTTTAACTAAAATGTTAAAAAATTAGATCCTAGAGAGTCTGATCAGTTTACAAAGCAAAACATTAACTTATACAATGTTACACTTACTTTAAGGAAATTATTCAGTGTGCCAAAACGTAGGGTGAGATTTGTTTATTAACCTATGACCTTTCCCCCAATTAATAAAGAACTGATAACACTTAATTCTTCATGCAAAAGATAAATGGTGCTTCTTTCACTTTGTGTCTATCGGTCTCTGACACGTCGTCGTCTTCATCCTCCCTCTCAACTGCTCCAGACCATTGACATCCTTCAACAGTCATAGATTGGACAGGATCTGACTTACATTGTTGATTTAACCTCTGAACTTCTTCTGCTATCTCTTTGACACCCTCCTCTTACATACTTGTGCAAACTGCAGCTTTGGTGCATTTCTGCCAAGAAGTACACAGCCTGGAGATCATCCCTGATGACAAAGAGTTTGTCCTGGCCCGAGGCTCGTCTCTCACCCTAATCTGCTCCGGCTCCAGCCAGGCAAACTGGGCGCTTAAGAGGGAAGATTCAACTGACTACCTGAATCAGCTAGACGATACTATGAAATCAAGATACAAATTCTTTGAACTTGATGCCACGTCGGTTGCTCTGAACCTAACAAGTGTGAATTGGAATCATACTGGTGTGTATCAGTGCATTGATGATACCTCTGGCGAGATAAAGGAAGTGGCAGTTTTTGTCCCAGGTAGGGTACGCCTCATTTCCCTTGAGTATGACCTCCTGCACTAACTCTGACTGTCAACTTACAAGTCACCTCTTTCTTCAGATCCTGAAGTTTGGTTTGTAAAGAGCACCCACGGCATGGTGACGAAGATCAGTGACGAAAGCATCATCCCCTGTGTGGCCACCAACCCAAACATCACTGTCATCCTGTATGAGTGGGACACCAAAAGCCCCGTCGAAGGGCATTATGTACCGAGTGAGGGGTACAGTGCGCAGCTGGAGGACAGAACATACGTGTGCCTTGGAGAGCTGAATGGGGAGGTCAAAGAGTCTCAGGAGTTTAACGTCATCAGCATTACAGGTTGGAGTGCAGCTAAAAAAAAAACACCCACTACCACTACCACTCGCTTTTTATTCAGTTCAAATCAAAAACTAAATCATTGTTTTGCGTGTATTCGGTATGTTTTTTTTTAGGTAAAATTCTCTGTGGACAGTTTTGCAAATAATTGATTGAAGATCATACTAACCTTACAGCTGTTTTAATAATAATAAAAAGAGCCTGTCCCTAATTATGCAGATTAATAGACCGGCTATTGAAGGTCATTGTGTATATTTTTTTAAGATTTTCAGAAACTAAACAGGAGCAGCCATAGCTCAAGCATTGCCATAAATCATTAGATGAGAATATTGTGTTAAGATCTTCATTTTATCTGATTTAATTTGTAATTATTAAAGTTTCTTCACCAAACAATTTGGTGACTGAACCAATTTGCCATCATGCCTATTCTGCACCTCTCTTTCCATCCCAGTGACCGAAGACATCAACCCTTACATCAACAGTTCAAAGACGGTCCTGAAGCAGGGCGAGCCGCTGACTATAAACTGCACGGTGCACGGAGTGGAGCTGGTGTATTTTTCTTGGGATATTCCACACACCGTGGTGAGTAGGAGTGGAGCAGAACAAGCGCTTTTGTTCAAATCCCCCTTTGCGATTTCTCTCCGGCGTCATAACTGAGCCCAAATGGGAACAAGATGTAGCGACACGCCTCAGTTTGGATTCTGTGGTAATATTGCTAGAAAAACATTCAATGTGTACATGACCAAGTGATCATTTCTTCACACATGTTGTTGCATGTTGGGAAGCTCTACAGAGTTTTCAGTATTTGTTTCAGCTTTACCTAGTAAACCATCGTGAGTTGAAGTGATTGTCTCATGCAGATGTTGTACAAGTCACCACCAACAGATTCCCTTTTGCTGAAACAACATATGAAACAACATATTTCAGTCACGTTTCTTTTTGGAAATGCTTTTGCTGATTGTATTTGTACTTGAAAGTTAGATTCTCCAAGTTCCCAGTCAGAATGACAACAAATACTATTACTGAATTCAGAATTCCTTAAAAACCCAAAGATGCTTATTGAGCCCCAGGTTTAATGTTCAAAATGACTGCTGTGCATATGAAACAAAGTGAAAGTTGCAGCAACAGACAGTTTACTAGCTTTTATGTTTCCATTACAGAACAGGATTGCTCAAAAGGCATTAGATGAGAGGAAATGAGAATGAAATGATGTTATTTTGTTTTGTTCCTCCCTTTTACAGGCTGTTAACGTTGAACCACAAATGTATTTCTACCCGAAGATGCACTCCTGTCTGACCTTCCCTCGCACTACGGTGGAGAACAGCGGAAACTACGTGTGCCACGCCCAAGAAGTGGTGGAGGGCATCACAGCTTCCTCAGGCGTCAACATCACCGTGCTCGGTTAGAAACACACACAAAATTCAAACAAACTGATGCTGAATGGATTATTATTGTGCCTCACTCGCCACAAAATGAATAGTTGTTATTATCAACACTGGGAGGTAAAGAATAGAGACGACCTGTATCTGGAAGAAGCAAAGAGCGTTTTTATTTATTTTTATGGATTGGATCTGAAATAAACTTTTTGACAAAGTGGGAGATCCCGGAGTGAAACCCTCAAAAACACACCTGCAAACCAAAGCACACGCCAGCTTTATATAGACTGGAGGTGGAAGCGTATTTAACTAGGCACATAAAGTCACCTACTTACAACAGCAGGCTGAAAGCCAGTAAAAACAAGGTTTCTCATACTGCACAATTTATTCTAGACTTTGTCTCTTGACCATCACTGCATACACTTTGGGTCTATGAATGCTTACTCACTCTGCAGTGAGGCATAGAGTGTGTTGAAAATAAAGACAGGGGAGCAGGACATATTTTAGTTTTAACTGGACACATTAATGGAAACGAAGACCATGTCCTGACAGCAGGAGTTAGCAACGGACACCGATATTACCAGCTGCTGTTTTTAGTGAAGAAACACAAACAGACCCAAATAGAAATAGGCCCAACTTAAAAAAGCTCATTTGTTATTTTCATTGGTTTTATTGCTCTGTAGGGATGAAAGACACCACATAAGGAAGTCTGTTGCTGTCCCTTTAGTTTTTCTGGTATGTAACACATTCAGGTGTCTCTGGTCAGAAACACATATACTTCAGTAGTACTTTAAGCCCAAAAATCCAAACAGAGCCAAAGGACTCAGTTGGTATTAAATTATATTCATCTTGAATTTGACAAATACTAAAAACAGAATGTTGTCCATGAAGACTCCTAATGAATATTTTCAAAGTAGCTATAAAAAGTATGAATGTCCTATTGGGAACGGAAGTCCCTATTGTTAAAAAAAACAAAACTATGTTGACACAAATATATGGAATATTAGTAAAATACATTGACGTTTCCAGTTGTAACATGACAAATATGCCCAAACAGTATGAATGGCATAAATTATGAATAATTTAATAGACAGACTGGCTTTAAGATTTGATTATCTGTCCTGCCAACCAGAAAGGTTTGCACTATTATTATTTAAATATTTTGTCAGTAATACCTATGAAGTATTTTCAACTTCTTTACACTTTGAGAGCCACTGACGCACACCAAGGACCAATATTAGCATGCAGAACTTTGCAAAAGTAAAGACTTGCAAATGAGTTCTTCTGAAAGGCAGCAATGTGAGCTGGTTCAAATCCCGGTGATGGCTTGTTATTTTGCATGTTATTTTAGGTATGAATAAAATTTGCATTTACGTGTAAGTATCTGTATGCATAGTTATTCGCCTTATATTGATCCAGTGAACTGGTGACTGCCATGAGTATGCATAGCAACCAATGGAGGTACTATTCCTCAAATGATTATTCATCAGTGAACGAGTTGACAAGCAAAATGTCTGATGGCTTTTATAGATTAAAGTGATTTCTGCAGAATAATTCTGTTATTTAAGTTGTCATTCTGTAGATCATTCACCCGCTGACCTGTTTTTCCATCAGAGCACGGTTTTGTGGCGGTGAAACCTGCTCAGCGGCAAAACATTTCAGCCAAGCTTCAGGAGAACGTGGAGCTGAGAGTGGACATTGAGGCCTACCCTCCCCCTCAGGTTCGATGGACCAAAGACGGGACCACCATCAAGGGAGACAAAGCTATCACCGTCAGACAGGATCATGAAATAAGGTAGAACATCCATCCTGAGCTTGCAGCTGTGCCATGTTTCTAGAAACACATATGCAACAAAGCTGCAATGTGAGGTGTTCAATATCCTGTTTGATTTAAGCAATCCACACATCTAGGTCCTGTCAGTCAGCACACAGTGAGACCTCCTCAGAGAGAAATATAATACTCTCCAGAGGGAAGAACTTCATCTGTCAACACATAGGAACCATAAACACCAAATACCTGTCACAACTCCCTAATGCCTTTCAGACAAATGGCCCTCAAGGAGCTGCGCTTTTCCCATTTTACACACTTTCAAATGAAGAATTAAGCTCAGTAATGTGTAAATCATATACTGCAGTGAAGGACACTAAACAACAATATTGTTTTCCTCTCAATAATTAATGGACAAATCTTTATTGGCAACACAATGAACAAACCTTTGCAGTTGTCCAAGTCTTTGCGGTTGACAGGCTAATCATTTGCGGCCTCCATGGATTCTCTTTCAGATTTAAGTCAAGATTCCTTGATTACTCCAAAATATTAATATCATTTCCAAAATACAAGACTGGTTTCAACCTAAATTGTTAAAAGTCAACATAGTGGAGCTGGAATGCAAGCTGTTTTGGAGGCTGACATGAAGTCATATGGGACAAATTCTCTCATACCTGCTATTCACTTTCAGTTCTATTAGTTCACCAGTGATGTGCGTCAAAATCCTCCATGTTCTTTTCGTGCTTGTTTTGCCCCAGGTATGTGACCATTCTCACACTGGTGAGGGTGAGGACTGAGCAGAATGGCCTCTACACGGTCATCATTTCCAATGGAGACGACAAGAGGGAAGTTCTCTTTGACCTGGAAGTCCGAGGTGTGAAGATGCATTGTTTTGTTTTGTTGTTTTTTTTTTTCTCACAAGTAAAACCACCTATTTAAAAAGGGTTTCAAAATAAGTCTTGCTGATGTCATAATGTCTGCTTCAATCTTTTACGTGCAGTTCCTGCTCAGATTAAAGACCTGACCGACCAACATCTCCCAGGGACGAGTGAGGCGGCAATCTGCGTCGCTGAAGGCCTTCCAGCCCCAACCATACAGTGGTACAGCTGCGACAGCATGCTCAAGTGAGTCACCGCACCTGCAACGGCACGGAACTAACACTAGAGGGCCGACCTCGCGCGGATCACTTCATCCGTTCAGAATGTGTTGGTTTTGGCGTCAGCAGCTTTGTTGACGCAGCTCGGGTGACTTCGCTTTCAGGTGCAGCAACAGGACGGCGGCATGGCAGCCGCTGAAGCCGCAACCGGACGTGGTGAGCATCCAAACCGACGTCAGCTACAACCAGGTGCGCAAGGTCAGCGAAGTGAGGAGCAAGGTGACCTTCTACAAGCCTCAGCAGGTCACAGTTCGCTGCGAGGCCGTCAACCAGCCCGGGCTCGTCAGCACGAGGGACATCAAACTGGTGTCCAGCAGTAGGTGTCCCTGGGAAATGTTATCTATCTATCTATCTATCTATCTATCTATCTATCTATCTATCTATCTATCTATCTATCTATCTATCTATCTATCTATCTATCTATCTATCTATCTATCTATCTATCTATCTATCTATCTATCTATCTATCTATCTATCTATCTATCTATCTATCTATCTATCTATCTATCTATTACCACATTTTCTGCGCTGTCTCAATGTTTCTGGTGCTTCTTTTCTGTTGCAGCCTGGTTCTCCCAGGTGGCAGTGTTGGCTGCTGTTCTGGCCTTAGTGGTCATTGTCATCTTGTCCATAATCATCCTCATCGCTGTCTGGAGGAAGGTACGACATGCATGAACCCGCTTATCCCACTCCAGTTATTCCAAGCACACACGTGCAAAGAGAACATATTCCAGGTTATTGAAAATATGTGAGATGTTCCTCCATCTTTGGCTTTTCTCTCAGAAACCTCGCTATGAAATCAGATGGAAGGTGATAGAGTCTGTGAGCCAGGATGGACATGAGTACATTTACGTGGACCCCATCCATCTGCCCTATGACCTGGCGTGGGAGATGCCCAGAGAAAACCTGGTGCTGGGTGAGTTTTGCCTGCAGCGCTACATCTGCTTAAACACTGACGACGTATGGATGAATGAATTTTAATAATCATTAGACAGGACGGTACACTTCACCTAAAAGCCCAAACTGGTTGAATTTCAGTTGTGTCTATATATATATATATATATATATATATATAATATATATATATATATATATATATATATATATATATATATATATATATAAAAATTCCCTTCTCACCCACCGCGGGTGGTTCTTATCCTCTGAGCTCGGGTCCTCTACCAGAGGCCTGGGAGCTTGAGGGTTCTGCGCAGTATCTTGGCTGTGCCAAGGACTGCACATTTCTGGACTGAGATGTCTGATGTTCCTGGGATCTGTTGTAGCCACTGCTCCAGTTTGGGGGTTACTGCCCCGAGGGCCCCGATGACCACAGGCACCACTGTGGTCTTCACCTTCCAGGCCCTCTCCAGTTCCTCCCTGAGGCCCTGGTATTTCTCTAGTTTCTCGTGCTCCTTTTTCCTGATGTTGCAATCACTTGGTATTGCTACATCTACCACAACGGCTTTCCTCTGATGTTTATCCACTACGACAATGTCTGGTTGGTTCGCCATTACCATTTTGTCTGTCTGGATCTGGAAGTCCCACAGGATCTTAGCTCTGGCGTTCTCCACCACCTTTGGAGGTGTTTCCCACTTTGATCTTGGGGTTTCCAGTCCATATTCTGCACAGATGTTTCTGTACACTATGCCTGCCACTTGGTTATGTCGCTCCATGTACGCTTTCCCTGCCAGTATCTTGCACCCTGCTGTGATGTGCTGGACTGTCTCAGGGGCCTCCTTGCACAACCTACACCTTGGGTCTTGTCTGGTGTGGTAGATCTGGGCCTCTATTGCTCTGGTGTTTAGGGCCTGTTCCTGGGCTGCCAGGATGAGGGCCTCTGTGCTGTCCTTGAGTCCAGCTTTTTCCAGCCATTGGTAGGATTTACTGATATCAGCCACTTGGGTTATATATATATATATATATATATATATATATATATATATATATATATATATATATATATATATATATATATATATATAAGTTAAGGTAATGCAAGGCATTATAACTCCCAAGTGTCACAACATGAAAGTGAAACTAAGTGTAAATGACACCTCCAGCCTTGCTGGAGGTGTCATTTACACTTAGTGCCTTTTGAGACCTAAATGAGCTATTAAATGACTTTGTAAAGTAAACATGTTTGTTTATTTTAAAGTTTCGGGCCTCAGTGGCTTTCTTTATGCATTTTCTTAGCCAGAAAAACCTAGTGCCTAGATTCACCAAATTGTTTTAGGCAGCAATTATCAGCCATATTTTCAGCTTTTCTGAAAATATAAATAAAAAAAAAGAAATACAATAAAATGAGTATATCTTCAGAAAATAGTGGAGGGATTTTCTAAAATCAATTTTTTAAATTGTTAAAACAACAAAAACAAACAATTGATTGTTTTTTTTTAAAATGTTATGTATTCCTTTGTGTATTTCAGACTCATTTCTCCATTTCTAAAGTTACAAATAATCCAAATTATTATTTAAGATTGGATTAGATCCAAGTGACGACAGCAAAAATGTAAAAGCGCCTTTTAAAATAATAAGTATAAACACCTACAGACAGTCGTAGATAATTTATTTTATAATTTAACTATTTTATTAGAAACATTAATATAATCTAATGAAAGTGTAATACTCCTTCCTGATTGTATTGTTGATAGGTTAACTAAAAGGGTTTTAAACAGAGTTTTTGTTAGAAAAATTTGTTCTGTGGCTGCAAAAAAAAATTGCCATTCCCTTTTCTTGCTCTAAACAGACCGCTGTTATTCTTCCTGTAGCTCAAAGGAAAACAGCTTAAACTGGAGGTGTCCCTCCAAGGCTTTACTTATGTTGGTGGTTTGGGTTGTCTGCACGCAGTCAGCTACTGCATACATAATGAAGCTTTTGAAACCTGTCTCACTGGCTTCAGTCCATCTTCACTCCTAAGCTGCTTTTTTAAAGTTTTCTTGTCGGACGCCTTCTCTAAAAGTTAGAAACCGCGCTGCTTATCCGAAAACATCAGATCCCTTCCCAGTTAGACGTCCACTTACGACGAAAAGTTCTCTTTAATCCATCATAAGCACTTTAAAATTCAATTTTCTTTAAAAATGATATGCTGAGATTATAATGAAGTGTTTTTTGGAGTTTTTTTTTTTTGCCTTTTGGTCTGATGTGTGCTCCATTCACTCTGCGTCCCACTGAGCCCGTTTTTGTGTTTCAGGTCGCACGCTTGGATCAGGAGCATTTGGCAGGGTGGTCGAGGCAACTGCCTACGGTCTCACGCATTCCCACTCCAGCACAAAGGTGGCAGTGAAAATGCTGAAATGTAAGACACACAAAGTAAAAAAAAAAAAAAAGAGAAAAGAAAAGCAAAAAAAAAAAAACAGCGCAGAACCATGTGCATAGTTTGTGAGAGTGACAACAGGAGACCCCTGTGTGGCTGTCAGATAATGTGACACCAGCTCCATGTTCCTGTGAGCTCAGAGAGATCCGCGGGCCTGCTGAGCTTTAGTTTTGGTGCCAGCCTCATTTAGGTTTTAGCTCGCAGGGTTTTGAGGCTGTTTGGCAAAAACATGGCGACCCCTGCTCTCTCTATGCTAGGTTCTCATATCTCACACTGTTCCACTTTTAAACACATTTTTGCTCCTGTCTCCTGTCTGCTCTCATTCAGCCACAGCCAGGAGGAGTGAGACTCAGGCCCTGATGTCTGAGCTGAAGATCATGAGTCACCTGGGACCTCACCTCAACATTGTTAATCTGCTCGGAGCCTGCACCAAACATGGTGATTTTTACTACGACAGCTGGTCAAATAAAATTATATGACACTGACTGTTTTGTAAAGGCTATGGGGGTGTTTGATTTGTAGAAAAATGTGAAAACGATCATTTTACTTCTGCTCAGAGTTATGTTTTACTTTGTGTTGGTTCAAAAGATTTAAGATGTTTTTTTTTTGTTTTTGTTTTTTACTTGATTGCATTATAAGAGCCTTTCTTTTATTATGTAGAGCCTTTCCTGTATTATGTCAACACCTCTTTCTTTCTGCTTCTGCCTCTTAGGCCCTCTCTACCTGGTAACTGAGTACTGTCGCTATGGTGACCTAGTGGACTACCTGCACAGGAACAAGCACACCTTCCTGCAGCACTACGCTGAGAAGAACCAGGACAGTGGCTGCATCATCTCCAGAGGAAGTACCCCTCTCAGCCAGAGAAAAGGGTGAGAGGAGCAGAGAAAATGCATTCAGAGCTGCACAGTCTCTACTTTATTATCCATAAAATTCTGTCGTGGCAAGTTATATAGCTCCAGATAGATCAGGGACACCCCCACTTATCTCGTGACTGCAGTTGTTACAGATGTTGCATGTGATGGGGTGGCTGCTAATTGTGTCACTTGACTGCCCCCACCCCCCAAATAATTTTTTCTTCCAGTTATGTGTCCTTTGGAAGTGAGAGCGATGGAGGATACATGGACATGAGCAAAGATGAGCCCTCCTTCTACGTGCCTATGCAGGAACAGCTGGACACCATTAAATATGCAGACATCCAGCCGTCTCCATATGAATCCCCCTACCAGCAGGACCTCTACCAGGAACAAGGTGTGACTGCAGCCTGTCCACACATAAATGATTTCATTAAAGCAACTCTGGAGAGTAGTGGGAAGAATCTGTTTTCCAGTAACACAAAAGCATGACAAATTCTGGATTATGAGCACAAAGCAAAAAAAAAATAAATGACTGTGATGCATATAAAGTGGAGTTATCCAGTAACCATTGGTTGCTCGTCATAGTTGATAAATTTCTTCATACATCAGACAATGCGGTTTCATTTGGACGAAGCGTACAAAGATTTAAACAATATAAGAGCGTCACATCATACAATCACAGCATCTCACTGTAGGTCAGCCATTATAAACCCTGAAACGGATCATCTCTGGTCTCCCATTGATTGTTTCTCCCTGTTTCCTCTGTAAGGTGGGGGCAGACAGGATCTGGTGATTGGCAACTCTCCCACCCTCACCTACGACGATCTGCTAGGCTTCAGTTACCAGGTTGCAAAGGGAATGGACTTCCTGGCCTCAAAGAATGTAGGGTGTTCAACATAATGTTTCCAATTAAATAAGGTCTGAAACTTGATGTACTGACAGGTAAGGTTTGATTGACTCCCTTTGTTTCCCCCACAGTGTGTCCATCGTGACCTGGCAGCCAGGAATGTATTGATCTGTGAAGGGAAGCTGGTGAAGATCTGTGACTTTGGCCTGGCCAGAGACATCATGCATGATTCCAACTACATCTCCAAAGGCAGCGTAAGAAGCCAATTAATCAGTTGCAGTAAATCTTATTGTTAAAGATCAGGTTTTTTACTGGCCAATTTTGTTTCAATCATTGAAACATTTAATGCTACAGGTTCATTTAACAAGAACCGACACAAAACATCCAAACAGAGTTTGCTGTTTAGTGCTCTAAAAACATACAGAAGTTTATTTCTATTCATCATCTCTTTTATGTGCATGTAATGCCGGTCAAAAATATTTCTTAACTAACAAGACATTTATGCCCATCTTGTTGTCCACCGCAAACCAAAATAATATTTTACTGTACTGAAATGTCATACAGTAAGCAGAAGGACTGTACAATACTAAGGAAAAACTACAAGCAAAATCTTTCTACCCTTGCTAATTTCATCATTTTTTAAAATATTCTTTAATTTCTGAAAGCGCGTTTGTGTGCTTTTTCTTTTTCTTTTTTCATTTAGACATTCCTACCCCTGAAGTGGATGGCACCGGAAAGTATATTCCACAATTTGTACACCACCCTGAGCGACGTTTGGTCATACGGCATTCTTCTTTGGGAAATTTTCACTCTGGGTCAGTATTGCATAACTCTGCACACTCAGAATGTGCAAAAGGGAAGAAAAAGGTCTGAAAAAGACATGTTTTTAGTTTTACCTGTCAGAGTTCTAGTCAGATCCAGAATTCTCCTGCTACATTAAACTGAGGCAAATGTCAAACCCTGCATCCGACTGTATGTATATAACTATCTGTTTGAAAACTCATATCAGGTCAAAATCTTATTAGTCACACTCAAGTGTTGAAATCAGCATTTCCTTGCTCAGCGTATTGTAGGTTTTGTTTAGTTAGTTTTTTGTTTTTTTTAAACAATCTTCCCATGAAGTTTTTAGGCCACCGTGAACATTAAGGAGACAGTTAGCTTGGTAAAAATATGCTCACAATCCGGCCTCTGTAAGTGCAAAAGAAAGATCTTCTTTCAGCCATATTTGTTTCAATATGGCTGCACTTTTGCGATCTGTTTTTGCCAGACATCTGTTCTAGAAATTTAACTTTGTTCTATAAAAAAATGACCCATATTTTAGTTCTTCAAATCTATCTAAATCTCTCTTTGTTTTGTTATCTTAAACTGTCCCTGCAGGAGGAACTCCTTACCCTGATTTGCCCATGAATGAAATCTTCTACAGTGCTTTGAAGAGAGGCTACAGGATGGCCAAGCCTGCTCACGCCTCTGATGAAGTGTGAGTTACTTTAACACTGTTCCTCCCAAAATTCCTCTTCTTCCTGACTGAAACCTTTTTCATGTGGATTATGTTGCAGGTATGAAATCATGAAGAAGTGTTGGGATGAGAAATTTGAGAAGAGGCCCGAGTTCTCCGTCCTGGTGCACAGCGTGGGAAACATGCTGATGGACAGCTACAAAAAGGTACACAACTTGTATTGGATTTTACTTCTTAAACTGTAGACCAGGGTTGATCAAGTCCAGTCCTGGAGATCCACTGTCCTGCAGCTTTTAAATGGATCCCTGCTGCTGCACACGTGCATGAAACAAATGGCTGATATTAGATCTCTAAGAGCTAAGAAATGCAGATGAGGGAGTTCAGCCACTTGATTCAGGTGTGCTAGTGAATGGATGCATTCAAAAGTTGCAGGACGGTAGCTCTTGAGGGCTGGACTTGGGCACCCTGCTGTAAAGACTACATGAGAACATACCATCAAATATTATCTGCAACTTAGTAGAGAGTAGCATTTAGTTCCATTGATCTGTGCTAAGAGTTTTTCTTTTCTTGTCTCCAGTTTTGATCAGGAACAAATACTTACGTGTCAGGAAATAGGTATTTGATCTCATTCTCATTTTTGGTCAGCTATAAAAGAATACAAAGGCCCTCTTGTAATTGTAACGTGAAGAAAGAAAAATAACCACAAATACAAAAAAAATTGCATGAAGGTTAAAAATTGTTGAATCCAATAATTTGATTTCTCCGCAAAATATGACTTACCTTTCTAAAAGCGCTTTTCTTTCAAGGAGCTCCAGTGAGACGTTTTCTGTAATTTGCACACATCTAAGGACACATTTAATTATCTAGTATATATACATGAGAATATATACATGCAAATGATGGCTAAACCTTCTGGTGTGATAAAAATATACCAAAAGTAAGTTAAAATTGCTTTCTGCAAAGACCTATCTTTGCAGTTCAATGAGATGTCAGACTTGGAATTCTGTGAAGGTGATTTTAATTATGACTAACCCACATACTCCCTATTTAGACAGGCATAAGATGCATGTAAAGGAAATGAAGATCCATTTTTCTGTAAAGAAAGTCGGTGTTTATCTGCAAACTAATAAATCCTACGAAGGGAATTAACATACCAGAGATTTAAACCACCAGAGAATTAAACCACGATGAATTAAACACCTAATCGGAAGAAAACAAGGTTAACTAAAGAGAAACAATCATGGACTGTGGAGGCACTTTGAGTGATGGAATCAAATGGATCTTATAATGGAGATTGCATGAAGAACATGAGCCTCTTCCCATAACTTGTCAACACATTGTTTCAAGGAAAAGATGGACTCAACATGACAGCCAGAAAACTGCTAGGATTTCTGCTTTTTTTATACAAATAAAAAAAAAGACAGTTCCAGGATTAGACCTTGTCCTGTAAAGCTGTTCTGTTGACAGTTAGTGTGCTAACGTATATTTTTTCACTAGTACCTCCAGACTGCAAAGCAGCATGACAGCATTCATAAACATATGGGAGAAATTCATAAAATAAAACTGAATGGCTGGAAAACATTAGTATTATTAAAAATCTTAATGTTGGTTGAATGACGAAGCTCCAGGTTTGCTTCTATATGCATAAGATAAATACATGAAAAATCTGAGGAGTGTTTTTCTGGACGCAAAATAACCCAACGTACTCAAATGAAACATCCTTTTTCACGAGCAAAACATTTAGGAGTCCCTAACAAACGTAAATTGTGATAAACTGCAAGAATTACATCATCTCAAAAAGGCAGTTGACATCCGATTGGTTTCCAAAACAGTCAATCAACTTCATGTTGTATATCTGTGTTTATGTGTGTAAACGCACTGCATCAACCTCCTATTCATGCTACCCTCCTCTGACTGACAATCTTTACCCCCATTTTCAAACAGAGATACAACCAAGTGAATGAAAACTTCCTCAAGAGCGACCACCCTGCCGTGACTCGCACCAAACCCCGGCTCTCCTCTCCATTTCCAATTGCCAGCCCAGCCTTCAGCTCTCCCTCTCCTTTCACTCAGTCCTTCCCGGGCCGTCACAGCCAGAGCCCGAGGCCTGGAGACGGCGGGCGCGAGGCGGACACACAGGAAGTCATCCCTTCATACAATGAGTACATCATTCCTCTCCCAGACCTAAAGCCGGACGAAGTTTTCACCGAAGTGCCGTCGGAAAGCCCGGCAAGGTACGGACCCTCCTGCAAGAATCGAGCGGTAGAGAAATGATTGTGTGTTATGTTTTTCTACCACACACCCACTCATCCAGATGTTGAGCTCAGACAGTCGTATTACGTAGGTGGATTCAGAGATGTGTTTTTATGGGTCATACAAACACGGAGCCAAGCAACGGCTTTATATGACAAATTTTTAGCCACATGAATTTACAGTAGTTTGTAATTTCCCCTTTTTTAAATAGCTGTTTTGTCATATTTCATTATGAATTTAAACTGGCAAACTTAAACCGAGATATTCAAACAAAGATGTAGGTCTGAATGTGTTTTCATTTTTTGATTATTTAAAATTTCTTTTGCTTATGAAAATGCTCTCGAGGTCGGACTTTAGTTCTGTGGTTTGGTTTCAGGTTGTCACAAAAAATAAAACAGAAAAATGTTTGGTCAACAGCCCCATTTATTTGAATAAATCCCGAATCACTTTGATCTGGAAGAATAAAGTCAAAGTTTAGAAATAAAACATCCACATTATCTAAAAGACTCAGGATATTATTATCATTATTAAAATTATCATTATTAACATTAACAAATATTTGTTAATTTTTACTCCATAAGTAAAAATTATGTGCAAACATTTGCAACTAGAATTTGTGTTTACAGCATGTAATATACATAAATATTTCCTGGTTAAAAGAGGAAGTAAAAAAGACAAGTTTCTGTTCTTATTGAGCTAAGCTTAAATAATTGTATATTTCAGTAAAATTTAAATGAGTTTTTTTGCGCTCTCAGCTCTCTGGCTGTGGAGGAGGAGGCCGACTCCACATCTCAGGACACGGTAGAAACTCTTCCAGAGGAAGACCGGGTGGAGAACACCAGCGAGAGGGACGCGCTGCTGGGCTCCATGGGGACGCCTGAGGTAGAAGACAGTTTCCTGTAGCCCTGCGTGGGAAGTCTGAGGAAACCGAGCCCCTTTCTGTAGACTGAGAAGAAACCCAACTAAAACCCGAAATGTAGCAAAAACTGAGACTGAGAAACATTCTCTGTAGTTTCACTGAGCTCTCAAAAGCTTCCTCCTTTGAGAGTTTTTGTTTTCTATCTAAAGTTACAAATAATGAAAGTGGTACAATGTTTCTCACTCTTCTGGGAGCTTGCCAGGAGAAGAATAAGGTCACATTCCAACACTATTAGTTTAACAAAAGTAGTGTTGGTGTTTACTGTAGATGCCAGTTCTGTCACACTTAGAAAGCTTTAGGCGGTTCAGATTGTGCTTTATTATTGTTGTAACACTAACTGTTTGTCTTTTTGACTGTCTTATCTGAGACTATGTGACTTTTTTTTTTTTTTGAGAAGTGGGTTTTATTGATATTTTTTAGCTTTCACAAAGAAAAGTAATGAGGACCAACCTAAAACAGAACATTGTCTCACAACAGTGATTAACACTAATTTGAAAAGATGATATAGACACTTTATTATTAATTTCCACTTTTATTTTGAACCTTTTTTGCATTGGGTACTATTAGCAACCTTATTCATGGTAACATGTTTATAAGGTTTCATTTCAAGAATCAGAAATGCAGAAACGTTGGTGCACTGTTTGAAAATGATGCGTTTCTTCTTTTTTTTTCCTTTTATTGGTAGTCAGTGTATTTTTGTGCCTGAGTCTTTTAACATCTGATGTTTTGTTTTTCATTGTTGTAGGCTCATGTCATAGTTTTGTATCAGGTTGCACTTTACTTAGAGAAAATGAGGATATTTGCATTAAAGTTATGTTACTGTGTGAATGTTAGAAAGCTACAACATAGAGCCACTAGAGCATAAATCTGGGACTATTTGATTGATTCGAATCAAATCTAATATCTGTGAAAGCAGGGGAAACTCTCAAACAGCATGACACTGCCTAAGCACAAGATGGCACACATGAGTGCCTTTTTATTGACAGACTTTTTTTTTTTCTCCACAGTTGTTTCTATAAGGGTTGCTTTTATGTACAGTATGTAAATTCTTATTAAAATGTCAAATTGATAAATCATTTCAGGATATTTTTCACCTTTAATGTGAGAAATACTCTGGATGGATTATTTAACCAAAAACAAGCAAATTCATTAATTGAAACAGATAAAAAGATTTTTGAAAAGTTGCAATAACCTGGTTGCACACATGGAAAATAAACTTCAGCACTCAGTCTCCATAGATCTTTGATAGCTTTTAGCCACTTTCAGTGTTTGTCAAAGAAGCAACACATTGAGTATCGCCACCATGCTCACTGTGAAACATGGCGGTGGCAGCATTATGTGCTCGGGTTACAACTTTTCACAGCCAACCAAACTTAACTAACTTATTTTTAAGTTAGGTAAAATATTGAACAGTACTATGCACCAATAATTTGAGATAAATTGGAATTTTATCGATTTAAGCATGTGTCAGAATCTCAAAAAGACTTGCTGTGCCAGAAGAAATTAAATACCTGGAATTATTTATTGAGAATTCAGAACTAAATTTAAGAAATTTTAATCTGAAAGAGGGGAAATATTAAATTCCCAGTGTGTGATAATAGCAATAGAAGACTGTGTTGGAATTAAATCAAAAGATGCTTGACCAAGTTGATGCTTAGTCGTGTGTACATCTATGCAACCAGGTTATCACCGCTCTTTATTTTTGTTATGTTTTCTTCAGTTTTATTTTGTTGGGATTTTTTGGTGAAATAAAGGAGAACTTGTCACAATAAAGGTGAAAAACATGTATTTGTCATGGTTACTTTTTTGTGTCGTATCACATTTCAGCAGAGATGGTTAGACCTTATTTTATCCACCATACCATGAAATCCTGATGTGCACATAAAAGTAATACTTTCTGTTGCTTTGGGTAACTTTTGCTACATTGTGTATTTTATCTCAGTACTTAGCGTAGCCATTTAAAGAACACGTCTTTATTTCTTGACAGTTTAAAAGCACACAATCACTATGTCACAAGCTATGGTACCAAAGCTCTTGTTAACTTTGACAAATGTATTTTCATATGTTTTTTTTTTTGTGTGTTCTTGTTTTTTTTTGTATGCTGTAAATGTGTCAATAAATCAGTGATATCACAATATTTAAAAATTTTGAAATCTTCTTTTACTTATTTAGTTGTATATCAAGATAGCTCACGAATGTGAAACAAAATACTGAACAGAACAAATGCATTTTCACAGAAGAGCGAAGTTTTGATGTCTTTCTGATAGACTGTTAATTACATGAAGCTGCGTCCCTTCAGGAATGAAACATGGATTTCATGTACTATATCATTTTATTTTGCAGTGAAAGTAGCCCTGGCTGTGTTTCTGTGCTCAGGCTCTACGCTTTCATGGAGAGTCATTGACAGACAGCTATATGACCTCCATTAGGTGTACACAATCGACCAATAGCTCAATTGATTCTACTCTTAGATAACGTCTATCTATCCATGCATTGTCTTTCACTTATCCAAGACTGGGTGACAGGGCAATGGATCCAGGAGGGAAACACATACAGGCGTCTTGCTAATTACGGGGGATCCCAAGGCATTCCCAGGCTAGCTGGGATACACAGTTCCTAAGGTTAGACCTGGGTTTTCCCAGTGAAACGTGCCCAGGTGCCACCCTGAATACATGCCCCCCTCATCAACACTCGATAGAGGTACTGTGTCTCTTCTTTGAACTTCCCTCTGTCAATAGAGATCCTCATACTATCCCTGAGTTCAGTCACCCTCTGGAAGAAGTTCATTTCAGCCACTTGCATCTGGAATCTCATCCTTTTGTTCATGATCCATGTCTCATGACCGTAAGAGACATGGATCTCTTTCGATTGGGAGCTTTATTTTTTGGCTCATCTGTTTCTTCACCACACATTAGTGGCTGCATTACTTCAGACACAGTCCAATTTCCTCTGTCTCACACCCTATCCTATAGTCACTTGTGAACAACATACCAAAATACTTCAGCTCCTCTGCTTGAGACAGAAACCGACCTTCAATCCAGAAGGGGCAATCCAAGTTTTTCCAGCTAAGAAACATGGCCTCAGACTTAAAGAATCTGACTCTCAACATACTTAGCAGCAATCTGCTGCAGGGTATGTTGGAGGTCATGGTCTGAAGAAGCCAACAGAATCACACTCATCATCTGTGAAAAGCAAATGTGACTTCCAGACACCCTTATCTCCAAGTCTCAGTCTTGAAATTATTTCCATGAACACCACAAACAGGACTGGTGACAAGGGGCATCCTGTTTTTTTTCCCCTGATTAAAACTTAGGAATATTTTGGAGTGCTGGTTATCCCTGTTTTACCATGACTGAGTGTTTAGGAAGTCTTAAACTCACTCCTGTGGGAATGTTTTTCTTATGTTTAGAGGGAGGTTGGGAATGGTGCGTCCAGGTGAACCACATTTGGGATCATCTTTGCAGATCCAATGTCCAGTATCTGTGGACAAAAGGACATTGTTGCCTGTCACAACCACAGCTACAGAACCTACTGATGGACACCAGCAATGATGGAAGGACTGAGAACTAAATAAACTTTTAGTCCTCAGGAGTCCTTGGGCACTCATGAAGCAATGAATAGGTGTTTGGTGGAGAGAAAGACCACACTTTTCTGGTTGATGAGGCAACACAGGTAAGAAGGGAATTTGGAAAGGCAACTGAGAAGGACTTCTAGTTGGCCCTGAGCAAGACCTAGTAAACTTTTTTATGACTCAGCCTGGAGTTGGTATGAGTGGGGGAATGCTGGTGGTGATGGTTAAAATCCCCCCAGGAAGGAAGTAGAAAGAGACTGAAGGCTCTGGATGTCATGGCTGACTCACCTCTTCAGTACCGCATTAACTATGAATTGTTTGGCATTGTTGGTTGTCTATTTGAGCCTATTGTTTGGCGGTATAGATCAGATTGGACTGAATATAATTTGTATAAATCCAACTATAAGATTCCATTGTGCTGGATACATTTGATTCATTTAACTACAGTTTGGACTGAATTTGATTCAAGTTGAATATGTCCTACTGTAGATTCAACTTTAGATTCAACTTGCGTTGTGATGGAAGTTGTTGTGAATTAGCATCACGTAAATTTCACTGGATAGAATTTTCTACAGGATCATTTTCTAAATGTTTTAAGAGTCTGCAATATGACCCAGTCATATCTCTTCATTTACTACCAGGCAAAACAGCCTTGTAGCCACCGGTTAGCACTGATGCAGATGAAAAGTCCCACCTCTACGGCTGTCTTTACTGGGCCTCTCTGTCAAATTTGAAATGCCTCATTAATTTGTCAAGCATGATAAGTTGAACCGCCTTCTCCTTGACACATGCACAGTTCCCTCCACCCTCCGGCCCTCACTCACTGATGTTTGCTGTGTGACCGTAAACAAGCAGAAAGGAGGAATAAGGGCACAGACAAAGGAAGAGGGAGGAAGGGACTCGTATGTCCGTGCTTGGATGCTGGGAACTTCCAAAACCCCGGGAAGTTATTCCATCCCTCCTTCAAGCTGAAGACACCTGGAGGTGAGAATATTTTACATAAACTAACATGCAATAATGTCAAATTTAGCTTTTTCAGTTTGCTAAATTATAAAATACTCTCTTACTACCAAACCTTTTCGGAGTGGCTAGAAAAGGGAAGTGAATGAAGGGATGCAGTGATAACCTAATTTCCTAGACAGTGTTCTGATTTCTTCATCTTTTTCTTTCCCATAAGTCAAATGTGGACTATTTAGCAGCCAGTGTCACATTTTAACCAGCAGGTCTGGAGTTTATCCATGATGCAAACTTACGTCACACTGTTGCTGGCGCTTGTGGCCTCTGCAGTTTCAGGTAAGACGGGACAAACGCTGCCAACATCAATTTATTTGACAATACTTTTTGCTGTCCTATTCCTGTTCCTGTCTGCTGAATCTTTGGTGTGTATTTAAATTTGGCAATTTAAGTGGCACTGGTTTGATATTGTAGAATAATGCATAAAACTCTAAACCAGTTAGTCAAATCCAGATTGAACATGTTCATTTGCTCCACAACTTTATAAAAAGCAAAATAACAGACTTTTCTGTGAGAACCTTTTTTTTTTTTTTTTGTATTCGCTCGTGGTTTGTAGAAATTGTACACAATACTGTGTCTAATGAGCAGAACAATTGACAAGAACATCATGAGTTGTTTGTGGGGCCATTCTTGACATTGTTTCTACATTTTCCCTGCTGCATTTCAACACAGCTTTGACTGGGATAAATGGTTATCACCCACCAGCTATTATTTTGGAGTTTCAAGTATTTAAATTTGAACATGTGAAATCCTCTAATTTTGATCTGATTGGGAGCTGAATGGATTAGCTTTGCTTGCTCTTGGATCACTTCGTGAGATTTAATTGGGGTTATTTTCAGCTTGGATGAAGAGTTCACTCACTTGAACAAAAGTGATGGAGAGGCAGCTGTGTACAGACACATAAATTAAGGACAGAACTGCTGATTGCCATGAAACAACCTTTGAATCCCAGTTACTGTGAGAAATATTGTGGTGAATAGAGAAATGCTGAACTTGGAATCTCAGTTCTCCTTCAAGATTCATAACACAGCGTTCTAAAGGGAAACTTGTCACCATACTGAACGGACTCTGAAAGAAAAATTCAGAATAGAAGTGACTTAGTCTTTCTAAAATGAGCTATTAACAAACTCCTTAATGTCGAAGTACAAGACATGAGTGTTCTTAAAGACAGAAATAATTCATTCAGCATGGTCTCTTTTAACATTTTCTGGCTCACAATTCTCTAAATATAGCTGTTAGGCTTTTATTTAATCTATGAATTCCTTAAATGTGCTTCTTCTGTTCTTTGCTTGAAGATGTACGCATTAATACCAGGAACAATCCCTGAATCTGTTCTATTTATTGGTTCCCAGACTATGAAAAACAGAAGTGAGAATTTTGCAGAAAGGAGGTTAAATTCCAAAATAACTTTGACTCATTGATCAGACAAGGGAATGAACAAACTAAAAAAAGGTACCAAAGCTTGACTGACCTAAAGAAAAATATGTCATTTTGCTAAAACAGTGGAACGGAAGCCGATAATCAAAGTCAATTCCAAGGTGGTGACGGGCCCCGAGGTGGTGGTAAGGGCCGGGAGGCCTTTGGATTTGAGGTGTGAAGGCAACAGACCTGTAAACTGGCAACCCAGGCTGCCCAAACACAGGCGTTACGTATCCAGGGCCAATGGGAACGTCCGCGTCTTCAGGGTGGAACGCTCCTCGGCAGAATTCACTGGAACGTACAAGTGCTTCTACACTGCCAGTCCTAATTTCAATAACCTGACCTCCTCACTGCATGTGTATGTGAAAGGTGAGTGAGATCAGCTGAGAATTGTTGCATGATTGTGTTGCAGTGGTTATTAAGGCTGATTACATGCATTTTCATCCCCATTTCAGACCCACAGCGAGTGTTTTGGACAAGCAGCACATCTCTGCGTGTGGTGAGGAAGGAGGGTGAGAACTTCCTACTGCCCTGCCTGCTAACCGACCCCTCGGCCACTGACCTGGGCCTCCGCATGGACAACGGCACCACTGTGCCACCTGGAATGAACTTCACTGTGGACAGGCACCGCGGCATCCTCATCCACAGCCTCCACCCGAGCTTCAACGCTGACTACGTCTGCACCGCCACGGTCAATGGGGTGGAAAGGACCTCCAAGGCGTTTTCCATCAACGTCATTCAGAGTGAGATCACTTGGCCATGCAAAACTGATTGACTAAAACCTTCGAACTGTCAAGCACTCACAAATGTATTATTATTATTATTATTTTTGCTGCAGAGCTTCGCTTCCCTCCATATGTCTTCTTGGAGACAGATGAATACGTACGGATAGTTGGGGAAGAAATTAAGATTCGCTGCACAACACACAATCCAAACTTCAACTACAACGTCACATGGAAATACACCACCAAATCTGTCAGTGGGAGGCGTCATAGAAATCTTGTCTGAAGCATTTATCTGGATTTTGGCTCAGATTTGTGTTTCTCACTTTAGAACCCAACAATAGAAGAGACAGTTCGCTCAAACGGAGAAAATCGTCTAGACATCCAGAGCATCCTGACAATCTCTGCTGT